CTTCTAATAGTGCCAAAGCTGGTACTCTTAAAAACCTTGTGTGTTCTTGCTGGGACAATCAACTAACTGCCTTCTGTGCCTCACCCATGCAGGACATGACATGTTGTCTCTTCTCTTCCACTTCCTGGATGAGTGGCTGTATAAGTTCAGTGCTAATGAGTTTTTTATACCCAGGGTAAGTGTCTTGCTTTGATCTCTTTCTATTTGTAGGTGGAAGCTTTTCTCTGATAATACCAGCTCTGAATCCAATGTTAATTGGGGGGGGGAAGGGATACAGCAGATCACTTAAGCACAAGACATGGAGAATTGAAAATACCAGGGCAGGAGGACTGGAGAAACAATCTGTTAACCTTTGTTACCACAAACACCAGTTATTAGCTGCTGCCAGAGGGTAGGGGCAGGCCTCTTCCCTTTTCTCTGATAATACCAGCTCTGAATCCAATGTTAATTTAGGGGGGGAAAAAAAAGGGATACAGCAGATCACTTAAGCACAAGACCTGGAGAATTGAAAATACCAGGGCAGGAGGACTGGAGAAACAATCTGTTAACCTTTGTTACCACAAACACCAGTTATTAGCTGCTGCCAGAGGGTAGGGGCAGCTCTGCTGCCATTGTGTTCCAATCTCTGAGGCTGCTCAGGTTTAGATTCCATCTGAACAGTGGAAGATAACTCTTGGAAATGGGATTTACTGAGAATTTCTGCCTGGAGATAGATGCTGCTGACATATTTCTCCTCTTGCTTTCCCTGCAGGAGGTGAAAGTGGTTTCCATCGACAGAATGCAGTTCAAAATAAGATCCATTGGGTGAGCTGAAGCCATCAGTTGGGTTCTGAAAGTGCACATACTGCCTTCAGAGTGACCACTCTGCCACACCACGATGTGCTAGAGGCCACTGATGCTTCTAAAAAGTGTAGTGTGGACTTCATTTTTTCTTCTTTTGAGGCTTTAATTGAAACTCTCACTGTTCTATGCTCATCAATGAAACTCATGATAACATTTGAGAAGTAGCACCAAAATTCTAACCACCTTTCTTCTTTTTGTCTTTCAAGGTGGGGAGAAGAGTTTTCTTTATCCAAACACCCTCAGGTATGTGGTGGTTCATCTCTTTAGGGGTAGGGTGAGGAGGGGTGGTGTCTTTTAAATCAGACCTCTAAGTTCTCAAGAGATCCAGGTTTAAACCCATCTAAATGGCATCACAGGCACTGAACTTAAGATCTCCCTTTCTGCCTGTTTTTTTTTTCTGAATGCATTCTGGAAGCTGTTGACCTGAGCATCTGATGCTTCCTCAGCACTAGTAAAAGTCAACCACAGGCTTCCTTTGTGATGCTGATAACACAGTAAACCAACCTATGCTCAGAAAGTGTCCACAGGTTTGATTTTTCACACTATTATCTTGGCTTTTTGCTTAGTCAGCTTTTGCTGCCTTTTATTTTTCCCTGAAGAGTTGCTTCTAGCAATTCCTTCTCTCCCCACCAGCTCTTCAGCTGTGGCAGTATTAGCATAGCAAATGTTGATGCTCTGTCAGAGGTAAGAGGAGCAATTAGTAGCAGTCAAAAGGCAATAAAATAAAGGAAGAGCTACTTACTCTTTGGCCTGGCCGCCAACTTATTCATCAGAATAAGTTTTTTGGGGAGAAAAACTATATAAACTGGATAGCATTTGTAGGGGGTAAGTACTGTGTCTTATAATGAACTGCTACAAAGGATGTAATTTAGGAGATCCATGGGTTTGTCTTTCCTCTCTAGGGCACAGAGGTCAAAGCTATAACATACTCAGCAATGCAGATCTGTGAAGATGAAAAGCCAGAAGTCTTTGTCATCATTGATATTTAAAAGGAGAAAGCTGTGGTTGAGGGGACACTTGTCACTGGCTGGCAAAAGTCCCTTGAAAACTGTAATCCCCATGGAAGTAACTCAGGAATTGGCCAATCTGAGCTGTAAATTGAAAGGAAGAGTTGTGGGGAATGTCAGGCTGTGACTGAAGGGTGGCAACACAGAGAAATACCTGCATGCCAGGAAAAATAAATATAAGATGGGGTTTGGAGGGGGTCTTAAGATGGAAAAAGAGCTAGAGAATGGTGAAAATTTCAGGAATGGTGGTAGTCAGCTTTAAGGCTGATCCCTGTGTTGGGTGCTATGTGAATTAAGCAGAGAAATGAGGGGAGCTGCTAGCTAAAATGTCAGCTTTTTATAGGGGGGCAGGAGATGTTCATCTACATGATTTTATGTGCAGATTTCAATATTGAGGTGATACTCTTGCTCTGTATTTTATAAAGGGTCCTAAATACCTGGAGTAGGTCAGATTTAATGTAGAAAAATGTGTGACTGTTGAAAGGACACCTGAGTAGATGGATGCAAAACCCAAACCACACCTTCTAGACTACTTTTGATAAGAAATGCTCGTGCCAGCAGGTGGTGCTGAGTTGCTGTAAATACATTTCCACCTGAAATCCTAAAGCATGGGACTGTGTTCATGGAATCCTAACATCACCTATTATCACCCCAAAAAAGCAGAATTTGCCAGACTCTCTGGCAGTTCACTCCAAACCATGTCTTGTAAAAGATGATTCTCTTAGAAAAATCAGAGTTTGGATCAGCTTCTTGTTCTTCTTTTAGAAAGGACAATACAAACAAACCCCTCATGTCAAAGGATTATGGACTGAATCAAAATTGATTAAAAATAATCAAGTGTGTTTTCAATCAAGCAAATGCACATTCCCTGCTGTGGCTACTGGAGTGTGAGAGAGGTATGGGACCCTGAGTGGTTTTTTTAATTGTAAATGCTACAAGTGCCTCAGCTCTGGAGGGAGCATGGGATTTTATTTTGTTCTAAAGCCACCTTCAGGAGATGTGGCTTTATTTCCATGTTGTGAAGATTAAGGGATAAAATCCCTTTCTTTTAAAAGAAAGCTCCCACGCTGAAATAAAACTTGGACTGAAATAATTCATGAATTTGCATGTGAGTAATTTTTGGCCAGTGGATTTTGTAACACTAATTACTGTGCTTTGTTCTCTGTGAAGGTGAGTGATGTTTCTTTTTGTAAATAAGAACACTGATACCCCTATTTGATGACAACAAAAAGTAGGATTTTCACACACTGGCTTTTATTCCCTCCTCAGGAGCAGCCCCAAGGGTTCCAGCACATACCTGCTATGGAGGAAGAGTGAGGAAGGGATAGCTGGCTGTGCTCTCACTGAGCTGGGGCCCACTGAAACATTTAACTGTCTGAAAGTGGTTAGTTAAACAACATGCTTCAGCTGCAAACCCTCCTTTTCTCACTGTTAGTTGCCCATGTTCTGCAGGGAGTTTGTGTGCATCTCTGGGTGTGGTTGTGGCTGCTCTAGGAGCCAGATCCAGAGGAGGTGGAACTCCCAGGGCACACTGGACTGGTGGAAGCACTTGCCAAAGGATACAATTGATGCAAGATGAGAGGAGTTTAAGGGTAAAGTGGTAAAGTACTTGGAAAAGAATGAGACCATATATTGGTGGTTAGTAAATGCACAAATCCCAAGTTAAGAAAACCACCTAAACTGGAAATTGCTGGAGCTGGGGAATTAGGGAATTAATATATACAGGCTTGTCCTGCTCTCACTTTTCCCTAGGTATCCATTAATGGCAACTGCTGGAGACAGGGAGAACCTTGATGTGAGTCAATATGGCCATTCTCAAATTCTTTACAGGGAATTTTTGCTTGCTCAGCAGTAACCTCAGGCTGCAGATTCTACAAACAGGAAAGGAAACAGCATAAAATGAGACATGAGACCAAACAGAGGCTCTTTCTCAAGAGTACCTTCTGGGAATGCCATTTTCTGCTCCCAGGCAGAATCCTTCTATACATTCTCTCTGAGATTTGTTTCTATCATTTTAGTACTGAGCATTTTTAGTTTCTCTAGCAACTGGAGGTTCTCTGACACAAATGACTGGGAAAAAAATAGGATTGCTAAAAAAGTGGAAGAGACTCCAGAATTAGAAAGGTTGCTTAAACCCTAAGGGAAATCATCCTCATAAACAAATGTTTTTATGCTGACTACCAAGCAGTCATTCAGCATCCTAAATTTATAGGAGCAGGAAAGCTTTTCTAAAGTAGCTCTGGGATCCAAGTCACAACTGTCCCACTGAAATAAAGGGACTTGTCCTCTTCTCTTAGCATAAGATAGAGAGGAGTTTAAGCAAATATTGCATCAGTCCTGAAAAAATGGAAAAAATCTGACAACTATACTTTAAATATTTGCAGTTTTATTTCCTTGGAGCCACAGTAGTGTATCTTTCAGTATTCACAGTAGAAAAAACCCCCTGCATATCTAAAAAAGGCAAGTTCATACTATCCAAGTGCACTATGGATGCTCTGCTCATTATTCTCCTCTCTATGGCTGTGTGTATCCTTTAATGGTGCTTTTCTGAACCATCAGAAGCAGTAAGCTCTGACAAAACTCCCAAATTCCACTTGTTTTCAAGTGGAAAGGACAAATTCAAGGACAAATGCCACTTGTTTTCTTTGCTCCTGGCTCAAGAATTTTCTGAAGGGCAGAGACATGTTAATGACATGGTCCAAAAAAATGTGGTTTCTTTCTTCAGTAAGACTCTTTCAAAGCAAATAAATAACTGTTTATTAAAAATCTATAATGTAGGATCCCTGTAGAACTGTATTTCAGTAAGACTTTTTCAAAGCAAATAATAAATAACTGTTTATTAAAAATCTGTATAATGTAGGATCCCTGTAGAACTGTAAACTAGTTCACACTTTTATCATGAATAGGAGCTCTGAGCAAGTTTTTGGTGAAATATACATCAATTTTTCTAAGTAGTTTCCAGATAAGCACTTTCTGGGTGTTATTTAGAAGCAGTTGAGTGTCTGTAATGCAAAACAATCTTTTTTTTTTCTCTTTTGCTTCTCAGAATTCTATCAATATTTAGTTTTAATGAAAGTAATAAACCAACATTAGTCTGTAGACACAAGGAATTTAATCTTGAATACAACAATAACAAAACCACAAACAGATCTACCTCAGGTTTGGTTTCACCTTTTCATCTGGAACGTCGCCGTTAACGTGTCGGACGACTAGATTATATGGTTCCTCCTCCATGGCCTCTTCATCTGATTTCTCTTCCTCCTCCAAAGCCCATTTGGAACTTTTGTTTCCCGGGGAGACAGGAGAGTGTTCTGCATCTAAATCATCCGGGATGCTGTCAAAATTAGCTTCTGAGAGACACTTGTGGCACAGTCTGTAGCGTCTGGTTCCTTGCTGAACGATGCAGCCCGTGAGTTCGGTTACGTGGCACTTGCACTTCCTGCAGATCAGTTTGCCAGCCTGATGGATCTAAAGGGATTTAAAATGTGAAAACATCAGCGTTGGGCCAAAAGCAGATTTTCAAAATGAACATTTATTTAGGGATTTTAACAAGAAAACTCGAAATAGGATTTGCCAACTTATTAACGAATCATAAAAATTGATGTGCAGCGAGGACGCTTTTGGGGTCTCAGCCCTGGAAATGACTGAGCAGCTGGCAGCAGGGGCAGCCTGTGGGGTTTCCCCCAGGCTGAAGGGGAGGGACGTACAGTTTGGAAGTGGTTCCTTAGGTGCTCGAGGCGGGTGAAGCGTTTCCCACAGGCCTGGCAGGGGTACGGCCGCTCCCCCGTGTGGCACCGCAGGTGCCGCTTCAGGTCCGCCCGGCGCTTCACCGTGTGCGTGCAGAAGGGGCACTTGAACCTCATCCGAGGGGGGTCATCTGTCAGAGAAACACAGGTAGGGGCGTCAGGGAGCCGGGCTCTGTCTTTGTGTCGTCGTTAAGAGGGTTTTCCAGCTTAAGTTTTTCTTCTGGTCTGGCATTAAATGGGAAAAATCCAAAAATATCATCGCCCAAACCCAGTATTTCTCATTGAAGGTGTTGAGCAGCCTGTGGAGTGTGTTCTTCTAGTTCAGGGAAATTTTAGACATACAGATGACCATAAATACATATCTGTTATATATAGTCCTCATACCTGCTTCTTCCACCAGCTAATCTTTGACATTTATAACCTCTCTATATATAACCAGGATGCACAAAGTCTTACCAATATGCAATTAGGATAAAATATAGATAGGTGAGTTTCCAAAGGAATGCAGGTAAGAGTACACCTGCAAACCTCATTGCACCATCTCAGGCAGATGATGTCAGTCCATCAAGAGCACAGGTGCTGTTTGTAGTGTGGTTGTGAAGTTTGGGCTGGTTGGACCTTAAGTGAATGCAGTGTGCCACCAGCGATGGGACCTTCATGGAGGACTTCTGAATTTAGGGTGAACACCTCTATTATTATACTGAATGCCAGGAAAGGCTGGACTAGATGATTCTTGAGGTCCCTTCTAACCTGATATTCTACAGTTCTATGATTCCTGACAAGTATTGGGGATGTTAAAAGAAATTCAGTCCTTCAGGTAGGTCCCTGTGTCAACTACAGCTCTTGAGGCTTCATTCAACTCCACTCGTGCCCAAATAACCTGGCATATATTGTTTTAATTTTACTTCTACCCGAGTCAAGCTCTCTGATTCTAATTCTCATGCCCTGTTCTGGCTCCAAGCCTCTCATTCTCAAGAAAACAACCTGCAATTCTAGGCATCATTTTGTTTTTCACACGACCACAACCAATTCCCTCCAAAAAGATCATCTGGAATTCTTCCAAATAAAGCCAAACCTTGCAAAACCATACACATTTTTTTTTTTACCTTTGTTCCAACTACCCATTACACCTAATATTGTGGGCATTGAGGTGTACAGTTCCTCTGCCTTTAATTCCATGAACTCGGGAGTTCTGGAAAGTTCTTGTTCTAGCTGAGCCACAGACCACCTCTTCGGAACACTCTCTGATTCGCGATCGTATCCGTAATCGTTGTGATCAACCTCATTCTCAGCATCACACTCGGCCTCTTCTCTAACCTGAGAGAGGTGCCCGGGGTCTGCCACGCTGCCACCTCCCCCGGCCCGCTTGCCTTTGGGGGCTTTACACTGCCCAGAGTCGCGGGTCTGCGACAGCCCCAGGTGCTTCCGACGCCTCCTCGCCGAGCCCTGTTTCCTGCCCCTTTTCAAGAGCTGTGTTTCTGCCCGCTGGAGGATCACTGGAGAGGACAAGTAGCTGCTGTAATTGCTCCAGGAGTTCTCGTTCGCCGCATCGACCTTTTCCTCCGGGATGGAACAGGAGCGCCGGGGGTTGCTCTTGGCTTTCCTTCTGGAGCGATACAGAGGTGGAGGGGCAGGTTCAGCGGTGGGGCTGTTGGCTGAAAGGCTGAGGTAATGATCCTTCTCTTTTTCATTAATGTCCAGCGAGGACTTGATGAAGGTCTTACACACGTTGAGGATATCAGTCATCTGCAGGTAGCTGGCAGCCGACATCACTTCGATCACGTTTTGGCCGGTTAAAGACAATACTCCCGAATACACAAAGTCCAGGATGACCATAAATGTCTCTGGGGAGAAGACCTCGAACGTCGCTACTGTGGGCTCACTCGGCTCCTTGGAGCCCTGGGAAAGGAGCATCTTGAAGTAGCCGCTGCTGGCAAAGAGCACATTGCGGTGTGCCTTGAAGAGCTTCCCCTCCAACAGGATGCTGCAGTCACAGAACAGATCTTGCTTCAGATCTGTCTTCCGCTGTTCGTTCAGCTGCTCCAGGAGGTGAAACTGGTGGGAAGAAATCTCCATGCCAGGCAGGGAGTGAGGGGAAGGCTGGCTCTGAAGGGGAAAACAAGAATAATCGTGACATGTGGCTGAATCCTGTTTTAAAGAGATGAGCTCTGTTTTTAAAAACATGAACGTTGTGCATGTTACTACATTACAACTACATCTCCAAACTCCCTGTGGACCATACCCCCCATCACAACGCAGGGGAAGAATGATCTAAACGAGGTGAAAAGATGCCCCAGCATCATTGCAGCGTATCCAAACCGAACTCCAGTGACATCGACGACAACGGGAACGGTTCACGGGGTGAGAAGAACTTGGACCCCCTGCCGCGGGCAGGACCA